AGTATAAAAAATATTTACTCAATATTTGATTACGTGTGATAAGATAAGGTGTTTAGGATCAAATTGTATTGTAATATGTTAAGTTTTATTGAAATGTATGACTCTGTAAAAAAGATAATATGTATTGACACGTGAACTGTAAATGATCAAATTGCTGATGAAGTCCTCAGTAAGGGACGAAACGTACAACTAGTTCAAAATAAATTATTCATAAGATTTAATAACCGTCTATAATTCCCTTTGAGACTTATATATTAATAACATATTTTTGGACAAGAATATTGATAATTAAATTATTTAGAATATAATTTCAATTAGTTTGATTGGAAATAATAAAATCAATCTATATGATTTCAATTGTTTTTCTGTTTCTATTTCTTTTTTTTTTTTGTTCTCGTTAGATAGCCAACAATAAAATTTTTTACTATCCACCAATAAAAGTTGAGTATTGTTTACAATTGGATTTTTTCCTTTTTTCGTTTTCACCCATTTCGCAATCGTTGTATCGTTCGCGAGTTTAAATACAAAAAAAAAAAAAGAAAAAGGAAAACAAAAAAAAAAAGAAAATTACTAACGCGAAGGAGACGAGTACCGTTAAAAAAAAAAAAGAATTCGTGTAAAAAATTCATTGAACGTTTGTTGGTCACGTTAATTTTCAACTAATGCATCGATCGTTCATATATGGTCTTCGCGTTTGTTATTTTAGAACGTGTTAACAAGTTGCCATCGTAAATATTCGGTTGGCCCCGAGGTGTTCGTTAGTTTCGACAAAGATTAATTACAGGTTACTAGAATTCAGTTTGCTAGAATCTAGGGAAGTCATGACAAAACGCCTAAGGGGCTGAAGAAACATCTTTTGTAAAATAATTTTGATTTTTGTTCTAAGAGTAAAATCTCTTATTGATATTATTAATCCATTGCAAAAATATTTTGTCAATTTCATTCGACAAAACAAACAAACAAACATTCGAATCATTTCACATTTGTCCTAAATAATTATATTTTTTTATTTAAACAACAACAAATTTATATAATATTTAATAATAATTATTAATATTTTTTTGTAATATAAAATAATAAATTGCATCATTTTATCTTGT